CGCAGGACGCTGGGTCTCCTTGGCTGTTCGTGACTGAGCACTTAAGCGCCACGCCACCAGGGCTCCGCTCAACTCTCCTCCAACCAAGACTCGACTCATAGCCGGCCGACCCGTGGGACCAGGTAGCTGCCCTGTGGGTCTCTGAGGTTGTCACCGGTCACCGGGCAGACAGCCTCGTCTTCCTCCCTCTCCTTTCCCCGGTAGTTTCGCAATCCTGGTATCTGGCTCAGGTCGGAAATGTGCTTTACATCCCAGAAGATGTGGGGAGATCACTGCTTTCTCTCGTTTCAGCCTTCGACCGAGTCCACTATGTAAACCGCAGTGAGGTGCTTTAGGTGATGTTAATGTTGTCGTTGTTATGCACAAAGACATCAAATAGAAAGACTGTGCTATTAACAATACCCTGAAGGTCTGTTAAACCAAATCACCTTGTGTTTTTAAAAAGGGGGTCTCCGTTTCACAGTCAGTTGAGGCCTTTGTGTGACCCCCACCCCTCGCTGGACTGAGGACAGCTACACCGCGGGGGCGGAGCCATGGCTGGGAGCGGGGCAGAAGACAGGTGCCCCCAGTGGGTGGGGCAGATGACAGCTGTACCCTGGGGCCACGGTGAGGGCATGGCAAGGGTGTGTTTCTGTGCCGTAGGACTTGAATGCAAAGCATCTGTCTTCCGTGAGGCTGGTGGTGGGCTTGACCCGGAGAGTATCCGGCCCCCCAGCTGACCGGCCAGAAGGGGGCTGCAGGCCCTGTCAGCTATTTGTGGCTGAGGAACGGAGGCCTCCGGGGGATTTGGAATACGCACCAATTTTGACGTCGTCACAAGGGCTGAGGCTCAAACCCGCCAGCCTCTTGGAAGGAGGAAGATGAGGAGGAAGCTGTCCACTCCCCTAAAGCCAAGCGGCCTGGAAAACCCTCCTCAGAGCCTCTAGCAGCCAGGACCAGGTGGCGGCAGTGTTGTTTGTCTGTTTGTTACTTGGAGAGACGCTGGAAGGAAAGGCTGGTCTCTGTTCTCCAGGGCCGCCGGCAGGAAGGGGCTGGAGGACAGGGGGCAATGGGTGTGGGGGAGATGCCCAGGGCATCACTGGATGTAGGGAAGCAGGGACCCCGGGAAGTCCCCGAGTGTGGCTTTAGCCCTGGGGTGCTGCTGCAGCCGAGCACGGAGACTCCTGTGACCGTTCAGCGGCCCGTGGGGTTTCCCGTGTGTGTCACCACGGGAACTGATGGCCAGGCCTCCCTCCCTCTGGACCACCTCATGGGTTTGAACTGCTGGCCTCTGAGTTCGCAGCCTAGCGGGTCACTACAGCACCTTGGGGCCGGGACCATGGCACAGGGTGGGAGTGACAGGGTGCCCAGCACTGTGTCCAGACAGGTGGCTCCCCCGAGGAAGGGGGATCCTGGGGTGAGAGCTGGGGGGAGTATTCTAGCCAGAGTGCACGGTGGGCTGCCGCCCTGAGCCTGTGGCGGCTGGCTGGGACGGGATGGAATAGGGTCAGGCGGGCAGCCTGCCTTCGCCCAAGGACACCGTGTTTGTATCTTCACAGAAAGAAACTCACGTGTAGGAGCGGGGGCAGCCTTGCCCTTGAAAGGTTTGGCCAGACCTTGACCACTGGCTGGCCACCCTGGGGACGCCGAGGGCCCCCCCTGCTTGCTTTCTGTGCTGTGGCCCGAGGGCCAGCCTCCCCATCCTTCCCTCCCATGTCTGACATCCTTTCAGCTCCTGCTCCCAGGGCACACTGGCTTAACCCTCGTGGGGGGAAGGAGGGCTCCTCGGGGAGCCAGGTGTTTGTGCTGAAGCCCATGTTGGCGTGGAAACCAGGTTCGTTTCCTGCGCAGAGTGAAGCCAGCCGAATGGAGGGTCCATTCCCCACCTGGCTGCCCCCAGGGGGATGCTTTCCTTTGTTCCCAACATCCCAGCCCCCCTGTTCGCAGCCCCAATCCCCCAAGCTGAAGTCAGGAGTGTAAGCACCCCAGTGTCCCCGGGGTGCCCCCTGGTGATGGTGATGGGGAAACAAAATGCGGTCCGCGGTTGTGCTGGGAGACCGTGACTGTTAGGGCCCATCAAGCCAGTGTCCTCAGCGCCTGGTGCCCAACAGAAGGAAATGCCACCGGCCCGCACAGTCCTCACAGCTGTGCTCCTGTTCAAGGCCATTGCTGCAGCCGCCGTGTCCGTCCGTCCGTCCGTCCCTCCACTTGGCCATGCTGGCTTTCCTTCTGGGGACGGGTCTCCTGACCACATGTCCAGAGTACGTGAGACCAAGTCTCCGCGTCCCGGCTTCTAAGGGGCGTGCTTCGGCTGTGCTTCCAGTAGGGTTTCCCTTCGGGCCAGCCATCAAGCCAGCCCAGACCCAGGGCCGTGGAGTGCGTGTGACTCACAGGGACCCGGCAGGACGGCCGATTGAGCTCCCTCTTTCTCCCTGGGAGCGGCTGGAATCGGGTTAGCAGCCCGGAGTAGCCAGGCTGGTCTGCCGCATTCTTCAGCCGAGCCTTGGGTCTTCAGTCTCCCGTCTTCCCAGACACCAGCCATCCGGAGAAATCCGGGGGTTCCGATACGGGCAGCAGCCGCACAGCTGCACGGCGACCCTTCCCACCTTGAGGAGACACATCACGGGCACAGACCGTCTGGTCCAGGATGCCCGTGAACTTTCCAGAAGAGGCTGGTGCTTAGAGATGAAAGCTCTGTGGTTACGGGGGCAGGGGGGGGGTGGGGGGAGCTCCCGGGGAAGGGTGCAGGGTCTCTGTCTCATGTCACTGTGATTGAAACAGTTAAAGGGGCAAACGTGTTGTTAGCTGAGCAGGCTCAGAAAGTGCCGTGGGAAAACCTCATCTTTGATCCTCTTTGCCACGAATGCGTGGCTCTCCAGTGGCATAGTGGTTATGCATCGGGCTGCTAACCGCAAGGTCGGCAGTTAGAAGGCACCAGCTGCTCCGGTAAAGTTACAGGAAACCCCGGTCGCAGGGGCAGTTCTGCCCTGTCCTGGGGGTCTGTTGTTATTAGTGACCACGTTGGTTGACATTTACCCAATACATTTTAAACATGTTTTTCCTAAAATGACAAGAAACACTTTTGAGGTCCAGATCAAACGGAACGCAATTTCCTTCCTCCTGGAGACCAGCCATCTGCAGGCCGGGTCCCCCACCATGCTGGCCCCTGCCCTCCCCTGGGCCTTCCCACGGGCACGTGAAGGTAGTTGTCTTTTCTTGGGACCAAGCCTAGGGAGGGCGGGCACTTCTCTCTGTAGCAGTGACCAGACAGCCAGTGTTTTGTCCTTGAGCTGTGACCAGTGACCGGTGCGCGGACTCCCTGCCAAGATAAACGGCCTTCAGTGCCGGCCCTCGCCTTTGATTCTGGCTTCTCTTTGTCTCGGGGGAACATGGGGTGGGGGTGGGGGTGGGAGGGCTTACCACTGCCTCCAAGCACGGGTCAGGCCACCAGACACCCCCCCCGCCCCCCCCCAGCACCTGACGTGAAGGTTACAGCGAGGGCCTGCCCGGTCCAGCGACCCTGGTGCAGGGCCGCTCTTTCCGATCCGTGAAAACACAGAATTCTCAGCTCCTCAGGATTCATCCGGAGGGGAGGCTGCCGGCAGGGAGAGACTCACGCTGGCTTAGGGGCTGGTGGAGGGGCGCCAGGGGCTGGCTCCCTGCAGGCTCACCCCCTGCTGCCGTCCCGGCGCCACAGTCGCTGCTGGCCAGCCACAAGATCAGTGCTTATCTAGCGTCCACTGCACACCCCATCATGCTGGGCTACGCAGCGTGCTGCTAGCTGCAGGGGTCACGGTTCAAAGCCCCCAGCGGCTCCTGGGGAGGAAGAGGCAGCCTGCGGCTGCCCCTGTGAAGACATCCATCCTCAGAAACTAACGGCCTCGTCTGACCCCGAGACACAGGTGAACAGGCTCAGCTGCTCACCAAAGGATGGAGCTTGAGAGAAAGCCCTGCCTGTCCCCTGCACCCAGGCCCCTGGGAACTCCGGAAGCACAGTTCAGCTGGGAACTCGTGGTACCGGTCTAGGGAGGGCCACTGGGCCATACGGCTCTCTGCCTGCAAGACTTAGGCTCGGCCGGAGAGAAGCTGCTGGCAGCTGCCTCAGACCCTGAGATCCATTGGGCACAGGGCCTGGATGCTCTCCTGGGCCCGAGTCTCCCAGCAGTGGGCTATGGGAGCCCCCGAGTCCCGGCAGCTGAGTCACCCTGCAGCCCGGTCCTTCTGCCCTGCTTGCTGCCCTCGGGCGGATGTGCCTGCCATCCCTGAGCCCTGGGCTCGGCCCTAGTGGATGGATGCGCGCTGTGCCGGAGATAGAGACGGGCAGGCCAGAGGTTTCCAGGAAAGAGACGCTAGCCAGCCAGATGCTGGCCTTGAAGGTCAAGTTCACACAGGCACCCAGACCCTCTGCTGCTGGCCTGCTTCCAACTCATGGTGATGATCCCGAGGGCCGAGGTGTGGAACTGTACCCCATAGGGGTCTGCAATGACCCCAGTCTTCACAGAAGCAGATCACCAGCCTGCCTTCTGCTGCACTGCAGGTGCATTCATACCCTTGGCCGTGTGGTGACTGGCAGAGGGCAGCACCGCCTGTGCCCCTGTTAGGCTGGGTAGACTAGAGAAACGAATCCATAGAAAGTCCTATGTGTACAAGAACGAGCTTTATGTACAAGAGCAGTTGACTATTGAGAAAACATCCCAGCCCAGTCCAGATCAAGTCCACAAGTCCAATATTAGACCATATGTCTGATACCAATCTATAAAGTCCTCTTTAGACTCATGAGACACGTGCAATGGCGCCGAATGCAGGAAGATCACAGGCCAGTGGGTGGGAAGTCTTGTGGATCCAGTGGCAGTGTAAGCATCTCAGTGCTGGCAGGGGTCTCCACGTGGCTTCTCCGGCTCCCAGGGCTGCATCAACGTAGGTCCATGTGGCTTCTCCTCAGAAATGTCTCTCAGGGAGTGAGCAGAGAGAGTGTCTCCCCTCTCCAAGGAGGAAATCAAGGAGTTCCCAGAATTCTCAGGAGAAGGCCACGCCCACACAGAGGCCTCATTGGCTGTGATCTGATTGACAGGCTAGACGCCACCCCTACACTCCGAATCCTCAGATTGACCCCAGATGATGTAACGACCATAGCCCCCAAGGAGCTCTGAGCACAAAGGGCCAACCTGCCTTGACCATGGGGCTGGCGTGTGCAGTGAGCACCGCTCTACCCCCAGGACGCTGCGCGATCCAGGCTGTTGGGCGTGTCAATGAGAAGACTGTGCAGGGTGGCTTCCAAGGAGCAGGGGGATGCCGGGGTGGGGAGACACAGCCCGTCTGGAACCTGGGGCCAGTGAATGCAGAGATGGACAGCAGCCTCTGTGATATCAGAGCCGTGCTGCAGCTGCGGGGTCTTACAAAGAGGCCAACAGCAGGCTCTCAGGGCCACGTGGGGACAACCAGGGACATCTCCCTGCAGAACTTCAGTCAGGTGGAGTCTGTGTCCAGACTCAGAGGGCCCCTCCAGCATGGACAACAGAAGAGTGACACCCCTGGGCGTTTCTCGAGCATGCTCTGGACCCCTGGATGGAGCTGGAAGCTTCAAAGTCAAGCCTGTTTGTGGCTTTATGGCAAACAACATCATCAGGCATTGCCCAGGACAGGGGCTATTTACCAGGCCACTGCTTCAGCGTAAAGAATGGTGTCACATTCTGCCTCTAATTATGGTCTGAGATAAAGGCCACCCATCCCCTTCTCTGGGGCAGCCCCTGGCCTTAGGGCAGCCCAGTTGCTCCTGTCTGCTAAATGATCTTCAGACCTAAAACTCCACATGCCTGGTCCACATCTATGAGCCCCATTTACTCTTCAGGAATCCCCCCACCAGGCGGCAGAGAACCCCCACCCGGCCAGCTCCCTGATCACGGGGTCACCTGCCTCCCTGCAGCCCTTGTAACCATTGGAACCAGGGCCACTGCACCTCCCACCCACCTCTCCGGCTTCACTCTGCCCCCTGTGGCTACCTGAGGTACTGCGTCCTCCCCGGGCGTGGCTGACCGGCCACTCTGCCCAGCCCAGGGTCGTCAGGTGGCATGTGATTAGCCATCTTCTATTTGGGCGTGGGGGGGGGGGACCCCTCATCAGTAATTGGGACCAGGGGACCCACTCTGGGCCACCGGGTTCCCCTGCACCCCAGGAGGTTGGACTTTGAAAGAAGGTGCACCTCTGATGGCGTGCGTTGCCTGGGAAACCGAGGCAGAGTCTGGGAGAGGAGGAGGGAACTGTCAGGCGGCGAGGGCAGAGGGGAGGCACCTTGTGGTCGCATCCAGAGGGGGCTGATGGCGCCCTCGGCCAGGGGCACCGTCCTGGGTCCCGAGGCCCCAGGGCTCCTGCCTGGTTCCAGAAGAGGAATCCCTTGTTGCAGGGTTAGGGTCCCTGCCACACGCAAACCTCTTAGAGGAGTTTCTCCTGCTCAAGAAACAAAGAAAGAAAAATAAGAAAAGCACGTGGCTGACAAAAGTGGATGCTTGGTCTTTAATCTCGGGAGTTACAAGTGACCAGACCATGAAGCACCTCCGCTGACAGGCCCGTTCTGTCCACCACCGAGGAGGGGATGCTCTCAGGGGCCCGCGCCCTGCCCAGTGACGGGGAAGGACGCATGGACGGTCCGGCTCATCAGAGGCTGGAGTGGGCGGTAATTGTCCGCCATCACCTTCTCCTCTTCGCCCGGGGAGGAGAACAGCAGCGTGCGGAATGCAGACAGCTGGGAAAGAGAGCGGCCAGAGTGAGCCGGGTGCAGGGACGGTGTGCACAAGCTCCCCGAGAGTCCCCGCCCGCGGGGAATCAGGATGGCCTCACGTGACCCATAGCACGTGGCAGAAGTGACCCGTGTGGCTCCTGAGGCCGGGCTGTCAGAGGCATTGCAGCTTTGTCCTCTGTCTATGGACCGCCCGTTCCAGAAGGAGCTGGACGCCAAGTACCAAGCTCTCCTAACTGCAGCCTCAGCCTCATGAGAGATGCGCCCCGGGCCAGAACTGCCTGCCACCCACACCCGCAGAAACGCGGAGAGCTGAACAAAGGATGACCTTGTTTAAGATCCTGGGTCTGAGAGCAATAACTAACGAAAACATACAATATAAACACCCACCTCGCACGTTCCAAGGAGCCTGCTGGGCTGCCAACCACAAGGTCAGCAGTTCGAGCCCCCCAACTGCTCTTCGGGAGAAAGATGAGGCTTTCTGCTTCCACAAAGATCTTCAGTCTCAGAAACCCACAGGGACGGTTCTGCCCTGTCACGCTGGGTGGCCATGAGTCAGAATCCACTCCATGTCAGTGAGCTTAGTGGTGGTGGCACGTGGCTTGTCTGTCGGCCTGCTCACCGGAAGGTGAGCAGCTGGAGGCCCCCAGCCGCCCCACAGGGGAGAGACAGGACGGACTCCGTAAGGGTCAGTCTGGCAAAGCCCCTGAGGCAGCTCTGCCCGGTCCTGGCGGGTCACCTTGTCACCGTGGGCTCGAGGCAGTGAGTGTGGTTTGTAAGAGAAATGGAAATCAACACTGGACTCACTCTTCAGTCAGGGAACAGGAAGATGTGTTTGTTTTGTTTAATGTCCCTCCCACTTGCCTGAGGATAAATCCCACATTTCATTAAATCCTGAGCTGGAATTGTGGCTGCAAGGCGGCCGTTTTGCCGGGCGTACTAGAGCTTCAGGGTGGATAAGGTCCCCAGGCCCCCATCCCCGCCCCAGAGCAGCACAGACAGCCAGCGTGCTCGGCCACCTACTGAGAGTGGCATTTTGAGGCCACCCAGAGGCGCCTCAGAGGACAGATGTGGCCACGTCTTCTGACCGGCCGCGCACCCACCAGAGACCGGAGAAGCACAGCTCCAGCCGTGGACACTGCCTCCCCCCCACCTCCCAGGAGGCTGGGTCCCCCGCCCTGCTGCCCGAGAGAGAGGTCTGGGGCTCCCGCTCAGCCGGGCTTGCCTCTGTGCCCACTGGGCTGCGGGCCACAGTGGTTGTGGGTGGGTGACACACTGGCTGTGAAGGCAAGGTCAGCCGCTGAGCGCCATCAGCGCCCCCCCTGGGCAACGGAGGCTGTCTGCTCCCCTACAGACGGATGGAAACCAGTCTTGGAAACCAGAGGGACAGTCCCACTCAGTCCTGCGGGGTTGCTGTCCACTCGGAGGCAGTGGTGTGGGTTTGGAGTTTGGTACAGGACTGCAGCTACTGCCGTGCTGTCCCCTCTGTCCCCACCCTCTCTGAACACAGCCCCTCGGCACGCAGGGGAGCCGGGCGACATCAGGGGCCTCCTCTCGTGCCTTCAGCAGTTCAGGCTTGGGCTGTGCATAGTCACCTGTACCCCCAGGTCACCTTCTGGAGCACACAGCACCCTCCCACGCTTTGTGAGTGACGTTTCGACAGCACCGCCCCCACCACTGTGAGCCCATCCTCAGACAAAGTGCATCTGAGCCAGGGTGTTGAATAGTGCTGAGATTGATTCGAGGTGTCTGTCCTGGGCAAGGGCTGGGCTTGTAGGGCGTATGTTACTCTCAGGTCCTCCCGGATCCTAAAGATTTCCAGAGAGGGGAAATAGTCTGACTTCAAAACATGCCTGCAAGTACTTGCCCGCACAGTGTGGCATGGGCACAGAACACTGAGTATTCTCCACGGACGGCCAGAAGGACAAACACATCTCTTGCTGCCATGGAGCCCCTTCCAGCTTATCGCGGCCTTATGGGGCAGGGCAGAGCTGCTGCCCCTGTGGGCTTCCAAGGCTGTCGACCTTCCTGAGAGCAGAGAGCCTCGTCTTTCTCTCACAGAGCCCCTGGTGGCCTTGAATGGCTGCCTTGCTGTGCAGTTAGCAGCCCACCCTGTAACCCGCTGTGCCCCGGGTCTCCTGTCTGGGAAGCAGTCCAGCTGGGCAGCTCCTTAGAGGTGACCCTAGCGAGATTTCATCTCACGTGCTTTGGACACGTTGCCAGGGGACATCATGCTGAGAAAAGTAGAGGGGCAGCGGAAATGAGGAAGGCCCTTGGTGAGACGGACCATCACACGGCTTCAACAGTGGGCTTGAAGCTGAGAATGCTAGTGAGCACGCGCACAGCTGTTTGCTCTGTCCTGCGCCGGGTCGCGTGAGTTGAAAGTGATTTGACAGTCGCTAACGATAACCGTAGCTGCTGAGGCGTTTCTCCCATTTGCCTGGGGAGCCTCCCCCTGGAGGGAACCAGCTCCACCCCCAAGCATAGCCATCTGCAGCCTAGTGCAGAGCTGGACATCCGGTGGTCAGTAGTGACCCAGGGCCCCAGCCCCACTCCACCCAGCCCCTGTCCCCGCTGGGCCTTGTACCCGATGATTCTCCCCGAGCCCCAGGCGGGCGGGTCACCGGCACCGCTCACCTGCTCCGCAGCCACCTCGATGGGCTGCTTCTGGATGATCCAGGTGACAGACTCGGTCAGCGGGGGCGTGGTGAGGGAGCCTGGGTAGGTCCAGTAATCCGGGCAGGGGGGCAGGAGGCCCGCAGGGTCAAAGGGGCCCAAAGCCGTCCCGGTGTCCTGAGGAGTCAGAACCAGGGAAGCGTTGGACCTCAGGGTTCTGCCCTGGCACGTCCGTGGGCAGGCTTGGCCAGCCCTGCCTGTGACCAGTCCACGGCCCCACTGTCGAGGACGCCCCATATTGTGCGCTCCCTGCCGCTGCTACAGAGCAGATCCCACGCCCGGCATGACTCGCGCTTACACAGCGTGTAGGAATCCCCACCCTCTTTCATGTCAGTCTTCCACTGCCCCACGTGCACACAGAGGCCCAGTGGGGCCTGACCCCAAGGAGGAGGAGCAGAGGGGGGTACAGGGCGGCCTGGGCGGGAAGGAGCTGATTCGAGGAAATAAACTGGGTGACGAATGTTCCCAGCTCCCTGATGGCTGGGCTGCATGGAAACTAATGGAAGTCTAGCATTCCAGATGGGGAACCTGTAGACCGGGGGTCACACACATCCCTTCCCACTCGGGGACCCAGGCTGGGCCGGCCCTCGGGGGCTCTGACCTCACAGGGAGCGGCCTCACTCTCCTCGCTCCCCGGTGGCCCCGAGATGCCCCGGGACTGCCCAGAGCACCCCTGCGCACCCCGCACAGTTGTGTTGAGGTGCCATCAAGTCGGTCTGAAGCACAACAGGACGAAAGACACCCGGCCCGGCCCTGTTCTCACAGTGGCCACGTCCGTCCGAGCCCACGGCTGCAGCCACTGTCCGTCCATCCTGTTGAGAGCCTTCCTCTACTTCGCTGCCCTCCACCTGACCAAGCATGATGTCCTTCTCCAGGGACAGGGCTTTCCTGACCACGCGTCCCCAGGGAAGGGTGCCCTACAGGTGTCCAGGGGAGGAACTGAGCCCCCCACACCCCAGGTGGAGCCCCGGCCCTACCGCAGAGAGCGGACACGCCTGGAAAACCAGCCCTGATTTACTCTGGCCTCTGGCCAGCAAGGCAGAGGATGGGGATGGGGTGGGGGCCGCCCCACCTTGGCCTTGGGGAGCCTCTGGACAGCCTGGTCCCCATCTTTGAGGTCCACATCAAGGGAGGCAAGTCGGCGCAGATCAAATGCCATCGGGGGACCAGGAAGGGCAGGCCCCGCTTCCATCGCCCACCCTGCCGCTTGCACCATTGTTCGCGCGGGCTGCACCGCGTCCGCACTCCGAGTGGGCCGCTCGGCTCCCACTGCGATTCACTTCTTGTTTGGTGCTGGGTAAACAAACCACACCGTTCTGGAATTTCCCAGTCCCGAGTCCTCCGGCGACTGAGCTGGGAGGAAAGATTGGGACACTTGAGGGTACCGTCCCGCTTCCCCAGCCTCCGTGTTCTCAGACCAGGTGTTGACTCCCGGTGACCCCTGCTCAGCAGGACATAATGCTGCCCAGTCCCGCCATCTTCACGACCCACGGCCACCTAGCCCACGGCCGTGTCCACGTCTTCCGAGCACCTCGGCCGGCCCACCACACTGTACCCACAGTCTGCTGCTGTGACCCACTGGGTCTCGGGCCGGTCTCCAGGCCTTTCTTCCTAGTCTTAGTGTACACACTCTGCCGAAACCCGTCCGCCACGGGGACCCTGCTGGAGTCTGACACCTTGGTGCCAGGGCTCCCAGTAGGCCCCCGCAGTTGGGACGGCCAAGGGCGGGGCTAGAAATGGTGGCAAGACTTTATCTCACACACTTTGGACAGGTGATGGGGGAAAGGCATCCTGCTTGGTGAAGTCGAGGGGCAGTGACAGAGAGGGAGACCCTGGACACAGTGGCTGTGACAATGGGCGCAGGCACAGGACTGGCTGTGAGGATGGTGCAGCGCCGGGCCCCTGGGCGTCAGGAACTATGACTGGGCCTTCTCCATGGTGCCTAATGGCATGTCCAGAGAGGTCACCGATTCCTCCTCCAGAGTCCTTTCCACAGAACCAGGGTCGCTGTCCTCCGTGCCCTCCTCCCACGTGTCCTTCCGTCGTAGGCCACCTTGCTGCCCAAGCCCTGTTGCTCCAAGGTGCTCAGCTCACCTTGTGCTTGATCTCCGGCAAGACTTCCACGAGCCTCTGCAGCTCCCTATGCGAGGCACCCAGCTGCACGGACAAGGGGGCCAGTTGGAAGCTCACCGCACCTGGGGGCGCGGGGGCGGAGGCGAGCGACCGTTACCTTCAGAAACACGCCGATGACGGCCAGGCCTTTCTCGCCCAGCACGGCCGCCTCGTAGCTCGGGTACTTCCCAGAATTCCAGTGGACCAGGTGCAGCTGAAACACGAGTGGCAGGAGGAGGAGAGGGAGTTACTGCCTCGGAGCTCAGAGAGCCTGGCCACCCCTCCTGTGGGGCAGGCGCGGCTGTCTGGGGGTTGGGGGCTGCGTCCCGGCGTGGGGGTCCCAGCACCGTTGGGTCGGCAGCTGGACTCGGGCTCTGAACGCCTGGTTGAGTAGCCGCAGGGGTCTTTCGACTCAAGAGAAACGGGCTGTGGGGGCCTTGCATTGACTCCCTCATGGCCCCTCGATTTCGATGCACAGTGACCACACAGGACAGGCTAGCACTGCCCCCCGGCCGGGGTGGGGCTGGTTTCCGAAGCTGTAACTCTGCATGGAGACCAACGGCCTCATCTTTCTCCCTCGGGACGGCTGGTGGGTTTGCACTGCTGACCTTGTGGCTCACACTCCCCAACACGTCGCCCACTAAGCCGCCAGGACCCCCGATTCCAACTCAGCACTAACTCCCTCTGCCATTGAGTCAATCCCAGCCCCTAGCGACCCTGCAGGACAGGGTGGCACTGCCCATGGGCTTCTGAGACGGTCACTCGACGGGAGGAGAGAGCCTCACCTTGCTCCCTCCATGGGCTTGAACTGCCGGCCTCACAGTGAACAGCCCAGCGCCCAACCCTCAGTGCTACCAGGACTCCTCTCTCAGATCCCCAATATCACCTGTGCTTCTGCCACTGCACTTGGCGGCCCTGGGACCCCATCCCTGCTTCTGTTCCCACCCTCGCCCTGTTTCCTCACAGTCCAACCTAGGTTTCTGCGGCGGGCAGGCGGCGGGCACGCACCTCGGCCGGGTAGGCGCGACTGTCCACCGTGTGCTCCGAGCCCCACTCATCTGCCGAGCCCCAGTGGAAGTGGAACTGCTTCAGCTGGTAGTGGTTCTCCAGGGGCCCCCCACTGATGCCTGGAAAATGAAACAGGGGGGTGTGATGTCGGGGGTCCCCAGGGTGCCCAGTTGTTGGCAGTGCAGTCTGGGAGTCCCCGTCTCCAGAGTTCGAGCCCTGCTGAGGGGACAAACAAGTGTGGTCGCTGCCAGGGGTGGGCTCCTGTCTGCACCCCTGGTGTCCCCATCAGCCAGGGCGGCGGCCCATGGTGCAGGCCACATGGGGTGGGTGTGGGGGGCTCCCTCCGACCATGGGTGCTGGGGTGAAGGTAGGGGCCAGTTTCCCAAACCCGTAGCCCTTGGGTCATTTCCGACCAGGACAGCCGCACTGACACTGAGGGCTAGTTTTAGGGCCTCTTATCTTTATGGGAGCGGCGGCTCGTCTCTGTCTGCGGAGCGGTCCGGGGCTGAACCTCCAACCTGCCCATGAGCTGCCCCATGCTCAACCATGGAGCCGCCAGGGCTCCTTGGTAGCAGTGTGCTGGCACTGTGCAGTGACGAGAAGCAATCACCAAAAAGACACCCAGCTCTGCCCGCACTGCAGGAGAGGGTGGTGGGGGGACCATGCGCGGAGTAGCACCTCTGTGAAAGGACCGTGGTGATGCTCAGGCCCCTGGCCCCGTGGGCGGCAGGGGAGACAGCCCACTGAGTGGAGCTGGCCAGTCCCAGCAAGACAAATACTAGAGGAGGTCGCTGCTATGAAAGCCAGGGGAGGGGGGGTCAAGAGGAAAAGGTTTTAATAGGAAAAGAAACAGACTCTGGTGGTTGGGGGAAGGGAGGGAGAGAAAAGGAAGGATGGGAGGGCGAAACATGTTTGTTTTTTAAAAGAGGGAATGCATGATTCATGTCGTACGTGTGCCTGCATCGTTGAATGGGAAACGAATTTCCTTCTGCACATCTTTACCCAAACTACAACATACCAAACCAAACTCACTGCTGCGAGTTGGTGCTGACCGCCTCTGTGGGCTTCTAGGCTGTCGCTCTTTACGGGAACAGAAAGTCCTGCCTTTCTCCAGTGAGGCGGTGGGTGGTTTTGAACTACCAACCTTGCGGATTGAAGCCCAAAGTGCAACCACTACACCACCAGGGCGCCGTGCATGGCAGCCTCTTCTCTATGGGTTTCTAACGCCAGGTCTTTGCCCCATCCAGCCTTTCCTTTGTCTTCTCGGCCGAGCTCTGGAACGATCTGCTCAGCTCTCTGGCTTCATCGCTCTGGTGCATGCCTGCCAGTCTGTGCACAAGAGATTCAGAGAATTCCCCTTGGTCTTTTCTTACACACACACACACACACACACACACACACACACACACACACCCTGGAAAAGACCGAGGGGAGTTCTCCGGAGCTCGCTCTTGAGCACAGGCTGGCAGACGTGGTCAGAAGAGGCGACACAGTGCAGGAGCTGACAGACCATGTCACAGGGCGGCTGAGGAGACAACATCGAAGGTTAGGATGGAAGGTGCAAAGACCCTGAGCCCAAACACCGAAGGGGAAGAACATCCAGCACTTCTCAAGCTGAAAGAAGAAGAAAAGGAAAAAATGTTGAGGGATTCTATGGGGGAAATATTGCAGGAGACAAGAAGCATCAAGAGACGATGGGAGGAACAGAGTCACGGCACCAAATAGAAAGTTGGCGCTGCACCATTTCAGGAGGCAGCAGATGAGCAGGGAACAGTGGCGCGGAAGGACGAGGTCCGATCTGCGTTGAAAGCATTCGCGCAAACAAGGCTCCAGGAGTGGAAGGGATCCCAGTGGAGGTGTTTCACGAGCTGAGGAAACACTGGAACCACGCGCGCGTCTACACCCAAAAGTCTGAGAAATAGCCGCCTGGCTGCCTGGCTGGAAGAGACCCACATCTGTGCCATGTCAAAGAAGGTGGCGCAACAGAATGCAGACATCGTCAAAGATCATCCATATCCCACGTCAGCAACATTTTGCCGAAGATCATTTTGAGACAGTCGCAGCAGTCCGTTGGCCGGGAGCCGCCAGAAATTTCAGGCAGGGCTCAGAAGAGGCTGTGGGACAGGGACAGGATGGTTGGCATCAGGCGGAGCTTGGCTGAAAGCACAGCTGCCACAAGGATGCTTACTTGCATTTTATTAACTAGGCCTATGCATTCAACTCTGTGGACCACAACAAAGGAGGGATAACAAAGGAGAAGAATGGGGATTCTAGAACATTCCGCCGGGCTCATGTGGCACATGTACGCAGACCCAGAGGCAGTTGTTCAAACAGAGTAAGGGGATGAGTTGTGTTGACGCGTGACCTTACAGACAGCCGAATGGAACTGCCCGGTCCTGGACCACCCTTCAATTATCTGTGAGCCCGTGGCTGCAGCCACCATGTCCGTCCGTCTCATCAGGGTCTTCCTCTTTTTCCCTGCCCCTCCACTTCACCGAGCATGGTGTCCTTCTCCAAGGACCGGCCTCTCTCCTGAGAACATGTCCGCGTGTGGGCATACTCTATGGTTTAAAATCAGGAGGAGTACAGGAGGGCTGGCTCCTCTCACCACGCTTACTCGCTCTGTGTGCTGAGCACATCATCGGAGAAGCCGGACCACATGAAGCAGGGCCAGGCATCAGGATGGGAGCAGGGTTCATGAGCATGGGGGTCTGCTTCCAAGAAGCCACAGCCTTAAAAACCCCACGGGACTGCTAGAGATTTCGGGGGAACTCCAGAATACTAGTTACCGGAAGGCCCGAGTTTGCAGGTTAGCTCTGCCTCTAACTCGCTGAGTGAGCTCAGGGAAGCTTCTTGAATGAGACCAGCTGCCCGAGGCATAAGCCCACTGCTAGGCGGAATGTCCAGGAGACTGGACATTAAGTTATAGAAACATCACTTTCCAGGTTCACTGCCCGATCAAGAGCCAAGAACCAGAGCAAACAGGGATGGCAGGGGCTTGTGTGTTCCGGCCAGTGCGCCTTCCTGTGCCCGGCAAATAGCTGACACTGGTCAGCAAAGGGTGGGGTCTCCCCCCAGGTCCCCTGCGAGCAGCCCTGAGCATGTCTGGGGCCTGGAGGCCACAGCGCCACACGACCGTCCACCCTGCTGCCCCAGACCCCTTCCCCCACCCGGCTTCATTCTTTCCAGCGATGCCCTGCACCGTCCTGCCCAGAGCCAGGCCTTCTGAACCCCGGGCGTCTGCCCACTGCAGCAGCCACGCCCCTCTGCCAGGGGCCACCCAGGATGTGCATTTCCTGTGCACACATGCGCAGGCTGGCACCAAGCTGCACCAAGGCCGCCCGCCTGCTCAGGCTAGGGCAAACGTCCCCAGACTCCGTCCCAGCGACAGCGGCTGGCCTCCATCACCGAATCCCTGGTGGCCGCGAGCAGAGGGGAACTGGAACCCAGCCTCGGGACCGGACTTCTGCACGGAGCAGAGCCCTGACCCGGCGTCCATCGCCGACTGTCCCCACTCAGACAGAGCAGAGGGGGCTGGACAGAACGGGATGGAGACACGTGGCAGGGTGGGGTGGGAGGCAGAATGTTCAACCACCGAAGGGGACAGGCCCATGCTGGGCCACCCTGGGTCCTTGGGCACGTGGCTGGCGTGGGGACGCGAATTGGCGGTAGGATCGGGTTCTTGTGACGTCATGCGACTGTACCCCTGGTGGTGGAACCGTGACCCGCTGAGCCCCTGAGATGTTGTCCAACCGTGACAGGGGACCCCCCAGCCCCTCCCTCCCGAAGTCATTGTGAGACCAAGGGCAACTTGGCTCACAAGGCCGGTCACCCCCAGGTATGGTGGTCTTGCAAATACATGTCCAGGTGCAGCCCGTTTGATTGCGCCTGCAGATGGAAGGGGGGCAGCAGCCTGTGCGCAGCGGGTCGGGCGCCATCCTTCCACTGCCCGGGCGCTGTCCGGTCTCCGTGTCTCCTCTCGGTCCTCCCGCGAGATTTCAGGCTTTTCATCGTCCCGTTGCGCAGACCCTTAAAAAGCTCCCCGCTGTCCAGTCCGTTCCGCCTCGTGGTGGCCCTGTGACGCCGGGATGGAACTGCCCCTGTGGGCTTCCAAGGCTGGGAGTCCAAGCGAGCAGACAGCCTCATCTTTCTCCCCTGGAGCGGCAGGGGGGCTCGAACTTCTGACTGTGCGGTTAGCAGCCCCCTTAGTAACCCCCGACACCACCAACTGCTCTAGGCACCCGGAACCCCCAAAACTCCAGTGCCTGCTTGCTGTCCGCTTCCCTGCTGCGGCCTGGAGCGGAGTCCTGGATCTGTGGGCCGGCCTGGGAGTGGAGTCTGCAGGAGGCCGAGCCCAGAGGTGACCCTGATGGGTGCCCCTGCGTGCGAGCAGTTGCGGGCACGTGTAAGCAGGTGGGGTGGGCAGCTAGAACAGACCCGAGCAGCAGTGGGGACACCGTGTGAAGGATGTGCCCAACCCCGAGGCGCCGCGTGTTTGTCGAGAGGGAGCGGCTTCTGACACCTGTTACCTCCACTGGCTTTGCGACAGGCAAGCAGAAATCAGGGCCTGCGTGTGCCCAGCCTTAGCTTTTCCAGGGGACCGGTGCACGGAGGGCAGATCCGTGGCCAGCAGGCTTCTGGACGGAGAGGGACGGAGGGGTCAGTGGTGACTTGGGTTGGGCTAGAGCGGCCCCTGGTGGCGAGTCCTTGGACAAGCGCCTGGAGCCTGGGACTTCAGTCCTGCGCCGCTTTGGAATCATGGGCCTGCGGTCAGTTTCTCCTTGGGCACAGAGCCCTGGGGCCGCTAGGAATGGGCTGGCGGGACCAAGCCTCACTGCAAAGTCAGGCAGACCCATCACCAGCCCTCTGCCAGCAGGAAGGGACAGGTTTCCACAGCGGGTCCTCAGTCAGGCCTGGGTGGTAAAGACGGTCCAGGGGCCCCGTGAAAGTGGACACACATAAAGAAAAGACAATGGGGGCAACTCTTGGTCTCTTCCCAAAAAGTTCCTCCAAAGGACTTGTGGGCCATGCCACCCCAGCGTCTGTGACCCTCAGGCCTGAAGAACTAGACGGTGCCCGGTGACCGCTGCTGGCCAGTGGCTGCTCTATGCAGGACCAG